TGTTCTCTTGACATACACTCTCGGAGGTATCTTCATTTATTTCTTTTTTTTTCTTCTAGAAAATGTATCCTCAAAATCTCAGTTATTACTTCAAAAACTGAAAAGATTTTCGGTTTCTAGGGCAATAATGTTCATTCTGCAACTTCCCCTCCTTTTAAGATATCTGAAAGAACTTCTTCCTCAGAATTCACGAAGTTTATTTCACATTTCTTTCGAGCTGCGCCATTCTTTCAAACCTCTCATAAAATAAAATTCAAACGAAAAATGAATAATAATGTCGGGAAATGTTACTACCAATTGCAAATATGTAACAGAAATATACATATTTGAATTCAAAGTATTAAAATGCAATAAATAAAGAGTAAAACATCATACAGATCTATTAATATTAGTTTATACAAACCAATTTCGTAAACAAAATCGATGAACGGCATCCATATTAATGAGGCACGAGCCAGCAATTAATGACGGAAGTCTGCGTTAGTAAAAGGCAGTTTGTGGTTTGCATACCGGAAACAGCTGGCGCGATGGTTGGAAACGGAAATTACACGGGGCTCTAAACGTACACTTAAAATACTGAACAAGGCATTCGGAATTACTCTCAAAATAACTTCTTGATTTCATGTATTAACCTTGTTTCTTGTCGTTGATGAAGTTCTCTGTGCACGTCATATAGCTTTGTCCTCTTTTCTCACGTTTCTCCCAAACCTTTTTGTTCGGGAATCATTAGGTGAGCACGAAACGCACAATTGCTTTGAAAAAAGTGGTATGTTAAATATCTTGAAATAGCGCGAGAGAAAGATTAGCTCACTCACCAGAATTCAAAGCAATGTTGGAAGGCATTGAACATTTCCTGTCAATACCAAACATTATTCGAAATTGATAATTCAATGATTTGCGTTAAAAAGATCGGGTAAATGATTTTTTATATTTCACATCATTATTATGATATTGCAAAATTTAATGAAAACATATCGAAAACAGTAAAAGCTCAAAAATTCGTTGTTCAATTTAGGACTTTTTCAAAATTTATCTTTTTTTCATTCAGGAACTCTCGTTTTACTTCTGCGGCGATATGTCATAAATGAAATAATTCGAAATTAATTAGTGGATTAAAGATATTTCTTCCACGTGCTTCTCCAACTTTCGAGTACGTACGTAGAATACTTTTGTATCAATCCCGGCTTGGGGAATGAACATTCACATGGCAATTTTACAACCAAAGAAATAATATCAACTACCTACGAGAACTTCAATTTAAAAGCATAAAAAATTTCTCAAAGGTTCTCACTGACCTCCAATAATAAAACTCGAGAAGGAAAACTTGATGCAGAACGTTTATTAATGTCAATGCTCTTCAAAACAACCTGCCCGTGACATACAATGAGCCACGAGGGCAAGTGTAAACTCACATCTCAAAGTACAATCCCCACAGGAATTTTTTTTACACAACTATGTCCTAGGAGAAAAATAACACCCACGTACTCACCGGTCCGCCATGCCGACTCGGGCAGCGTGGCGCGGAGGGCGGAGAAAATTAGAAGCACGCTCGCTCGGGTGGATGCTCGACTATACTGCTTTCTGTCAAGGCCGTGCGAAGCAAGCGAAAACTTTTGCCGCGTGACGTAACGGACGCGATGTCGGACGCACGTGACAGCGTTGTAACTCGTACAGTGGCGATTTTTAGTGAAATCTGGCGTTACATTACACAAGACTGAGCTACTGACAGCTCTAGGACTGCACTTATTTTTTGGAAAATTAAGTGACAGTCGATGAACGAGCGTTTTTGTATTTGTTTCCAAATTTACATTTTTTTAAAAAAATCGTCGTTTATTGAATCAATTAAAAATAAAATAAAAAAATATGTAGAATAAGGATAGGTGGGCATTATTGCCACTCATCTGTTACTTCCTATCCTTACTCTTTTTCACATCTTAAGTTGTTGAGATGTTCTTCATTAAACAGACTAATAACACATTAAAACAGAATTGAACGTCTACAATTAGGATCTTCAAATACACTGGGGCGAAATACATTGAATAAATATCCCTCAATTTAAAGAGCGGATTGAGAAAATAATTAAGAGCGGAGTATTTAAAATATTAAGAAATTTATTAAATTTCCTTAATTACATCAGTGTAATTTACGCATTACTTTTGGAGCCCCATGGCGTCTCATGGATAGAGGCCACAGCATTCCCTTCCATTATTTTATCAGTTCATTGACAATGAACACACACTTATCGCATCGCTTACAATAGAAATATTCCTATTATGTCATAAAGAGCGCCTTTTCAAAAATAAATTCACTTTCTAAACAAGTGCCATTTTCTTGAACACATATACGTGGAGGGATGCAAACTGATATAATGCCTGGCTCTGTCCTTGCTGGTGCCGCCCGGGAAAATGTCGAATAATTATATGAGTACTTGATTTAGAAACGGTAACACAAGTGTAGAAAATCCTTTACATTTTCAAAGACAGTGCGGTTTGGATCGGATGGTTTGAATTTTGCTGTGTTTTTGAAGCGATTTACAAAGCAGGACACCGTCACAGAAGACAAAGCGTATTCCGATCCCAAGGAATGGAGCAATTCGTGTGATGCGATCCGACGATGCGTTCGCGATGTAATGATTCGAAACGAAGACGTCGATTGAATAAGTACCTTCGGGTCAGTTTTAATCAGAAATGTTGAAGGTTAACTTACATAAAATGCCAAAGTTCACTTTTAATTGACAAACGAATTTTACAGACTACAATTTATTACGCTCTTTGTAAAATAAAAAGTTCAAATGATCATTGCCTCGTTATCGTCGGAAATTAAATTTCCACAAGTTCATGCCCTCTTTTAAGTTTGACGATTCCGATACACTTACAAAAAACAGCCATATGCAAGGAAAATATTCGAACGGTGCATAAAACTATGCAAACATAATTTTTTAATTCAATCTCGAATAAAAGTTTGAAAATGGATCTGTAATAAATGAAAAATAATCAGGAGTAACACTGTAATTTTTTTTTTAAATTTTCGTAACAATACATTCTTACAAATAATTCTGATACCTAATTTTATTCCGGTCGAAAAAAATTCGAAGGACAAATGCAATACATTCTGTTAGATATAAAAGTGTTGAAAATATTGTCATACCGAACAATTGAATAATTTAATAAACAAGTAGATAAATTCTCTTAAGACATAAGACGTTCGATCCTTTGTCATAATTTAGTATTAGAGTTGAAAGGTACATTTTATTTAACAAGAGTGTAATATATTTTTAGACCAAAAAATTTATTACACTTTCTGTTCATAATGTGCAGTCTAAACGCAATTTTAAGAGATCTACGTAATTTGATAGCTGATCACATCTCTCCGCTCAGGCCATAAAGAAATTTTGGTATCAACGTAATTCGTAAGAATCGGAGATAACTAACGAACCATCAAATTTTGCTTCGAATTGAAACTCTTAAAATCCACTAAATATTACCAGTACGAGAAGAATTAGGGACTTAATAGTAGGAGATGGTTGGTGATGGCAACGTACGACATGTTCCGATCGATTTGTCAGCCTCAAATGTTTTTCGAAGCGTTTCGTTTACACAGTTGCAGGGAAGCTCCACAAATACAAGAAAGACTGAAATTGTATCTAACATTCTATTAAATCTCCAAGCTTCACCAAACTCTTTGGTAAAATAAAACCAATGTACTTTGTTTTGTGCCATTTTATTCTTTTATGTGTTTATTTAGAAACATGAATTTTTGTTTTAGTAGGTTTAATTAATTAGAAGGGAACCAAATCTAATTATGGAAATACTTTAGTGAATAGTATTGAAACGAAGGTTTAAAAATAACTTATACCATTTGCACTACTGAAACTATGGAAGACAACTAAATCCAGCGAAATCCGATGTATAGTGTCCTCTAGTTACAATTTTGGTTCTGCACAACTGAGACAAAGAATAGAACAGGGACACAAATTTTGAAAGCATTTCCAAAATTATTGCATACATTTTCTATAAAATCATTGCAATCTCATGCTAGTTCGTTCTCAATCACATATCGAAATTTTACGATTCGATGAACTATAGTCAATTATCCTTCCAAACTAAAATACTCCGAGTCAAGAGAACAATAAAGAAGTAGATGAATTACCGGGAAGTCAAATCTTCAAAATGATGGACACTTAAAGAAGTGTTTTTCCACTCATTCTTTAGCAAAACTGTCTACGATTATCGCCAAATCTTTAAATTTTAACCCCCAACAGATATACGCGAAGGTCTTCCACAACTTCTCGGAAGAGGAAGAACAAGAGATACGATTTCGTCAGATCTGAATATCTGTTCGATTTTGAAGGACAAAACCAAATTCAGCGCAGTTTTCCAAAACAAATTTGAGCATCACAGAAGCAATTTATTTACACCAATTTCGATACAAAATCAGAGTTCGATTGATTTCTACTTCTCTCGGCAAAGTATTTAGATCAACATTTTAACAATGTTGCAGCTAAAATTGTTTTTGAACAATATCATTGAGACTTTGGTTAATACACCAAACAATTTTACTTATTTGCTAATTCTAATTATACTATCGAAATTTCGGATTTTTTTCCGGTTTAAAACTGGCGAGCTAAAAGAATTACTAAAATTAAGGTACAATATATAAGCATGTACCTACCTTTCTATTGTTCCAAAGAAGAAAAAACTAATAAATTAGCGAATTTATTGTCTTCTCTTGTCGTAAAAAATTTTCTACACAAAGCTTGTTTCGGGCATTTCACTACTCCAGCTGGAGGGCTCCGCGAAACGCACCCCAAAACCACCTCCGTCGACCTCTTCGCCCTCCGCCGCCTACGTCACCCGCCCGCCCCGTCTCGTCTCGTCTCGGCTGGACGCACGAGCTTCGCCCCCGGCAGCGGCAGTCCGGGCAGTTCAATACACCAATAGAGCGGTTCCGGGAATGCCGTCCGGGCGGGCAACGCAGGTCGCGGCTTACGCTGTACTAACCCCGGCGCGAATGAATACACAATCCCTTTCATAAACGGAGCCACGGCGCACGCGTCCGCGATGGCGCGGCGCGCAAGCTCCGGCACCGCCCGCGGAACCGGCCCCCCTTGCGGCGCCTGGCGCGCAGCGGCACTCGCGTATCGACGACGCTCCGAAGCCAAGAGCCTGGCCAGCCGCAAGGAAGTCTCTTTTGGGTGCAGAATAGGAGGAGCTTTTAGAATTCATTTGGCGCAGTAGCGTAGTTTGGGGGTGGGGAGATGCGGTCCGCTCCGGGTAACACCGATTAAAAAAATTTATAGTTCGAATTATACATGTATTGTTTATTGTAAAACTGTAATTTTTATTTAATGGGTATCCCTTTATAAAAAAAACATGCATTTGTTTATATTTCGTTAATTTATATTTTGTTTACTTTATTTAAAAATTATAATTCAATTATTCTGAATTACATAGTTTTTTTAAATTATATTATAAAGAAAACCTATGTAAAAATATTCTTATATTTAACTTAGGAGGCGGGGATGATATCATAAATTTTGTCCCAGATGACACCAACTGGAGCTACGCAACTGATTCGGAGTCGCCCATTCACAATCGGATCCATGGTAGTATTACATTAAAACTGGATTTACCAGGTGCCGAGAAAAGCTATTTTTATGACTTATGATCGAAACAAAATTCACTACTTTTCTGTAAATAAAATAGCTAAGACAGTGCTTTTCAAAGATTTAGCTGGAATCTTTGCACCCCCTTTACAACTACCTTCTTCTAAGTCTTTGGCAACTATCATTCCAGTTGACACTGTAGGTCAACTTACCAATTAAATAAGAGGTCATGTAGAAAGGAGCGAGACCAAATGCCACCATCGTATATTAAGTAAAGATTGTACTTGTTTACAGATAATTCCCAAACACTTCCAAAAGAAAATTTCCTGACTTTACCCAGTTTTCTAGAAAGTGGCTATCTTCACATTTCTATATAGAAAAAACTGAAAAAATTGTATACTTTATAAAATTTGTCAAGTCTTGCTAAATTATACAAATATTAATTAAAAACAAGACTTACATACCTTGCACTAACTTGTCAGCTCTTTGATTTCAATGTATCCTACCTATCAGGACTTTCAACCACATTTTTCTCAAATGAGTGAATAGAATTTAAATTCTCCTAATACTATATTCCATTAATTTTCAATGTAGTTAAGTTATATCTCAGGCAAAAGCAGCTTATACCTCTTCTCACAAAATTGAAAAAGTTGTACTACAAACTGTATTTTTAAAAGGAAATAATTGATGTGTTTCTTAAAATGCTATCCATCCGAAACATATGCAAGTACAATCAGTAAAGCTACCACTCTTTTCATATTAAATTGCAAAACAAATATCACTTCATATATTGTATTCAATCTCTTTAGGTAACAGTTAACTTAGGTAAATGTATAAACTGAGATAAAAGTGTCACGAACAGGGACAAAGAACAAACCTCAAAAAACTTATTTAAATCCAGAACTTGCAAGCAGATGATGTTTGTCAAAACATCATATCAGATGCTCATATGATCAAGGATTAAAATTAATAAACACAAGTGTCTCTTTACATAAACTAAGCAAAATGCAGAAGTAATTAACAACATACGT